AAAAGTACTTATTAGAACCACACTTCTGACAAATGAAGTACACAACATGTTCTCACAAAACAAGGGTACAATTACAACAAAACTACATATTACAACCACACTTCTAGCTACCCTTCTTTGGTCTTCTTGTCAAATGGAATTATCAAAGTTATTGTCATTTTCCCACCTTCGGCCATTGTAGCTTGTGCAAACATTTGTATAAGTTCACTAACATCACCTTTCACCTTTGCATCTCCACTTCCTTCACCTTCTACACTTGGACATTCCCTACCATTATTGCTGCCTTCTCCATATTTCCATTCAAAGTAATTGCATTTTGTGCAATTGTAGAACAACCTGCCTTTATTCTTTCCAACCTTTGTTGTGACCAAACATCTTTGAATGCCAATTGAACAAGCAGAGCATTTTATCTTGTTAGGGCATTCATTAAGGAAATGTGGTGAACTCCTGCAACTATGGCATATACCATAATTTGTCAACATATTTATCCTGCAAAATGAATCAAACAAACATCATGACACCCAAGCAACCCTAGACATCCGGTTTGATTTTTGAAAAAAAATTCATATTTCTACGCACCTGAAGACGAAGAACGGGCGAAGGAAGAGTGGTCTTTAGTACTCCAAACGCCTGAAGAACGTACGTAGGAAGATAGCTTTTGATTCACTGCGAAGGAAGAACGGCTGGAGAGTTTTTTATTCGATGAACGTACGAAGTCTGATTTGTAATCGATGATGAAGGGCTTTAAACGAAAAGGGTGTGAATTTAAAAGTGTAACCCTGATAAAATCGAAGGATAGACAGAGTTTGTAATTTTTATAACGGCGGGGTGACATTTACAATTATTCTGACAACGCGGGGGTTACATTTAATAAAGTTGAAATACGGGTCGGGGATTTCAATGTGGTGGCTAATTGGAGGACGAAATGTGCGATTTTCCTTAAGTTTTTTCATGTATTTATATATCTTTTTACACTCTATCAGTCATTTTGAAACAGTTAATTTTATTAAACAATTATTAATAGTCAGCTAACATAACCAGTCGGTCAAAACAACTAACATAATCAGCTGTTTGAAAACCGCTGACATAACAAGCTAATAGCAACAACTAATAACCGATTGCCAAACAAGGTCATAACGTTGTGGATTCTTAATATAATAAATAAACAAGTACCACAAAACTATAAAAAAATAGAGAAAAATGATTACACCCATCCCTGAGGCCTCCCAAGTCCCAACACCAGTCGGAGAGTAAGCTACGAGGATGTAAATTTGACTTTAATCATAAATTGACAGATAGCGAGTGGGATTTGACACAGGTACTTGCATAAAAATAGAGAATATTATATGCAGTGTAACTAAAAAGCATGCTTATTTGGAAACATTATACAATTCTACAAAAAATTATAAAATTCTGACTGCAATGATTGAATCTATAGAACTATGAAAATATCATATTTAAAATATATTTATTAATAAAATGAAGAAAAAATTACATTAAAGAATAGTTAAAATGGTCTTCTTAGTAACTTCAGTCTGAAAAGTAACTCGAGCCTTAGATATTTTAAATATTACACAATTTGGCGCATGAAGTCAAAATTGCATATTTGGTAAAACAAATTGACTGATAAGCTAAAAACATGGGTTATCAAATGGATTATAAAAATATTTTGGTGTTATTTTTACTCCCTTCAATTTAATTATAAAAGAATGACAAAAATAATACTACTGGCCTTTATTTGGACAAGAATAAAACTAACTTTCAATTTTGGACAAAAAAGTGATAATTGTTTATGAACAAAAAATACAACGCATATAAAAACAAAAACAAATACCCAAATATTGTATCTCTCCTTCATCACTGCAGCCAAAATTCATTGCCGCCGCACAAGCTAGCAACATCACCGTCGCTACCCAAGCTAGCGGCATCTCCACGGCCGCTCATGCCAATAGCTTCTTCTCTCATTTGTCGGCTTCGTTTGAATTGTCCTCCCTACACTTTTCTTCTTCTTCTTTTATATCTTTGGTGGACGACAATTGGGGGTGGATCAATAAAATGATGATTGATGTGATCGTTCGCTATTAATGGTGAGCGGTTTTTTTTTTAATGAAACTGGCGCAACGAGTATCTAGGGTTTGATGATAGGGCTGGGGAGGGGGCTGGATAGGGGGCATGGGAGCTAAGAAGGGGGTTGGGGCCGCACTAGAGGAGACATGGAATGGGGTGGGCCCGGGTGGCGCTAGGGTGGTGTTGAGGCCAGGCATGGGAGGGTTTTGGCTGGGATGGTGTTGGGTGAGGTAGGGAGGTGTTGGGTGAGGCAGGGAGGATGTAGGTTCACACTTGTGAAGGTGAGGTCACTACAGCGCGCCACACTCAAAGTGTCACTGATGGGGTGAAAGTCACCGTAGATCATCGGTGGTGATCAATGAGGCACTACAGTGGTAACAATTGGTCATTATGGGTTTCGGGTTAATAAGATGTTGGAGTCACTGAGTAGAGAGGAGGGGCGAAGGGAAACCCTAGCCGCCGTCTCCTCTTCCTTCATTCTTTTCCTCTCTTCTTTTGATTTTAATCATGAAAAAAGATTCGTTTAATCAGTTTTTTCACTTCTATCTATACGTTTATTTCCTAGCATTGTCTAGATATATTATTTTTGGTGGCGAAGTGTCACTCGCCAGATCTATATTCCCCGCCATCATCGGTCGGCTGTTCTTGTGTGCTAGTAAGAGATTTGTATTGGCTTTTTTATCAATCATGAATCAGGATTTCTTCTGCATCGATGTAGAGGCCGATCACCCCCCTTCTGTACCACCGCCGATCCAGGAAGATGACATTGGATGGATTGCTTTCTTTCCGGTGGCTAGTCAAATCGGAACAATTTCTGCACTTGGCTCCTTACCGGTGGGTAAAAAAACCGACAAGTTCAACAATTCCTTTTTAGTGGCTGGTCAGGCCGAACCCATTTCGAGTAGCACGAGAAGACACAATGCGGTACAAGTCTACATTGTTGCAGGGTTAACGAACATGAATGTTTTTATATGGCGTTTTTGTTTTTTGTCTCACCCTAGTGTAGTATTGAACGCTATGATTGTAATGCTTCGGCTTTTAGTTGTTATGTTTCTTGTTAAGATCTGATTATCAATAAAATGATTATTTGATTTTCAAAAAAAAAGATGTTGGAGTCACTGAACTCGGACTTGGTCATTGAAGGACTTTTGATGAATGGGTGGTGGTCATAGTCATCGGGGTTGGTCACTGTAATCAGTGACAGTGTTGGTTATTGTGACCAGCGACGACATTGGTCTCTATGATCAGCGGTGGTCACTGACCGGGTGGTCAATAGAGCACTTTGGTCAACAATGGATTTTGTATCGCATTACTGTAGCACTTGTGAGGTGGAATTATATTATTGTAAAGATGTAATAATTGTTTAGCCTCTTTTTGGTCTCATTTTTTTGGAAACTCAAAAAAAGTCACTTTTTTCTATAATAAATTTTTGTACTATGTTTTACATGAACCCTTTAATTATCACTCATATAAATATATATTTAATTTTGTCAGTCATATATATTAGAAATAGATGAGTATTTTAGTCATATATAAATAAGGTTCCCTCAATAATAACTTTTCCAAATAAATAAACAAATAAAGTATTACTTCCTCTGTTCGGAATTAAGTGCAACACTCCCTTGGGTGCAGAAAATAAGAAACATGGACAGAGGGTTTGAGTTTCCCTTTTTACCCCTTAGGATACTGAGAAAAGTGCTGGCTTCGTAAAGTGCTACAGTATTTTCCCCATAAAAATCCAAAATCTAATAGAGAAGCTATTTCTATCATCTTCTTAAACTGTGCAAAGGGTGTATTTTCCGACCTTGATGTTGAAGTGTTCTCATCCTTTTCTTTGGAGCTAAATGAATCTTGCTAAATCTATAATGCTTCCTCCTACCTTGCTAAATCTTGCACCATAATTTGGGTATGATCTTGATGTTATTTCCCCCCTCTGCATGATATAAACTCAGATGTGTTGGAGTACACTAACCTAGGCCGTTCAATCGAGTTTTTTGGGGTTCACAAACATTTTTGAATCTGTGATCTGAATTCTTCTGTCTCTTATTAATACGAGTATATAAAGTTATAAACAGTCTTACCTGTTGACATCGAGGAAGTTCTTTTTTTGGACAAAGATCGAGGAAATTCAGAAGGCACTAAAGCAAAAACTTTTAAGCCTAGATGTGCTACAACAGTACAACTCAAGGAATTTGGATGTTTTGGTTGTTAATAAATACGGAGTAATAAATAGCGTTGTTACTCAGAACTCATGTGGAATTGACTATAACCACTTTTGTTACATATTGTTATTTTTTGCTCATATATAGTCCTTTTCTGATGGTTAAAATTATGGCTGGACTCGGGCCGGTTCGGGCCCGGGCCTCGGGCCAGAAAATTGGGGCCCGAGCCCGAACCGCCGGTGGCTGGTTCCGGTTCCGGGCCAAACCGGGGCCGGGCCGGGCCAAAGCGGTCCAATTTTTTTTTTGTTCTCCTATTTAACCCCCTACCCCTCCCCCTCAACCCCAAACCACCTCAAATGGCCCAAAATACTTAATCCAACCCAAAACTTAAAAAAAATTCAAAAAAAAAAATTAAAATCCGGCCCGGACCGGGCCCGAACCGACCGGGCCGGTTCGCCTAAAGCAGGGCCCGAGCCCGGACCGCCCATCATCCGGGACGGGCCGGGCCAAACCGAACCGCTGGACCCACCGGGCCCCGGGCCGGGCCGGGCCAAACAGTAGCCGGGCCGGTTTCGGGTCGGGCCGCCCGGCCCGAGTCCACCCCTAGTTAAAATGCCCGAAAATGCATAAAAATTGGTCAAGAAAACAATAATGAAGTACTAAAAGTGAACAAAGTGAAAGACGTGGACTAAATGTGGAATTGATATAAAATTCAAATGATCAAAAGTGAAATTAATTCTCTAAAAAATAAACAAAGAAGGAAAAACGGATACAATATTTTTTTTTAAAGAGGGGGGCTTACATTGATATCACAGCCTTAGCATTCAGAAAAGGGTTAAAACAATATAGGACCACAGACAACCGTCAGTCCTCGAACCAGACTTAGAGTCAATCACTTTCAGAGAAGCAATATAACTCACTGATCCTATAATGGGCTTACATGAGCCAAAGACGGTTAAAGCTGACCTCCTATCACCCAATCTTATTGCAAGAGTTTTACAATAATAAAAGTAACTAAAAGCAAAATAAACAGTCTGGTCTTGAAAAATAAATCATAAGCAAAAAGTAAAATTAAAAAGATGCTTCCAAACCCTAGACGCTCCTGCACTCCATGGCGGCGGTTCAGGAGGGGGACGATCCGGTAGTACTGTAGCTTCTTCCTCACCTTGCCTCTTATTCATCATGTTCTTTACTAACCCTCCTCTGTCGCTACCTAATACAGATGACCTCGAATCCAGATTTGTTCCAGCCTCTAGCCCCACGCTTCTTCCATGACCTTTTTGGCCACCGGAGACCAAGCATCCGTCCCCTGTCCCTGCACAACCTTCAACCGCCAGAGACCAAACATCATCTTCCCTCCGCTTAATCTCGCCAAGCAAAAGAAGAAGAAAAAGCCGCATAATTGATGACGGAAGAAGAAACCCTGCACACCTAATAACCCCGCCTACGGCGGTCGCTCCTTGTTACAATCGATAGCTAAGAAAAACCCTAGCGGTGGAAACTCACCATAGAGAGAGAAAGAGACGATCGAAACTGAAACAATAATTGTACAGGTATATTTTCTTATTATGTTGGTAGCAGTTAAAAATAAATAATAAAATAAATACTACATAGTAATTAACATTCAAAAAGGAAAATGATCTAAATAGAATTGTATATTCCATAATAAAGATAAAATATAACATATTTTTAAAACAAAATCATAATTTTTTTCAAGAAAATTCCTCAATAGGGGTAAAAACTTTTTGAATTTCTATAATAGGAGCATTATGTTTTTATTTCCTAAACACAAGTAATTATTATCAAGTTTGGAAATACTGCCAATTATGATAATATCATATTTAAATCCTAGTAATTTTGAGAACACCCTTATTTTAAGGAAATAAAATAATACTCTCATTTTAAAAGTTGATATTATTTTTACTCATATTTGAGGATCTTCTTTTCCGAATAGAAGTCAGTTACTCGTGAAAACTTCACTTTTATAATTTGGCAGATCTTTGTTAAAATTGAATAAATCATATATTAGAAATATAACACACGGAGTAGTTAGAACTTATTCTTTATTTACTTATATTTATAGAAATTTCCTTAAAACTAAAATTGATGTTGCAAGTTTACTTAGCATGGATTGAGGTCTGAGGATGGAAGAAACCGTGTACTTCCGTGTCGGTTAAATGAGAAAGCATGTCAATTTAAGGTCCAATGATATCACGCGTGACCTTAAAAATCCGCGGAGCAATAATAAAATAAAAACAATCGTGACTGCGCATAACAATAACAATAAAAAATTGAGCAGTGAAAGAAAAACAATATTGTTGGAGGTATTGGTCCTACCAAGGCCTCCCTTCCACTTTATTTGTTGAGGCTTGCACACTCTATTTTTACTCTCTCTTGGATACCTATTCTTTGGTATATATCCTGATCAAATATATACCTATTAGAGTTGACTTTCCCAGTTGGCTGGCCCCTTTGATTGCTGTCCGCTGCATCCATCTTTTGTCTTGGCTCCTACATGTGACTTTGCCTTGTCTTTGTAGCATGTGAGTGTTTGTTGTTTTGACCTCACCCGTGACTCCTCTTCTATGCTGGCAGCCTACTATTTAAAGTCCTTGCTTCTTCCCTTGTTGAAGCAGCCTGCGTGAGTTTAGTATCCCAGAGAGCAGAGCTCCCTTTCTTCCTCCTTTGTGTGAGAATAGATAGGTCCTTAGTGGAGAGTAATACTTGGGTGTGCTATAGCTTCCTCTTAGTGTGGTGTGTGAGAGTGTGTGTGTTGAAAGACCTGAGCCGGAGACGGAAGAAACGATCCTTACAGTGGTATCAGAGCCTGGAACCGCCGTCTGCCGCCGTACGCCGCCGCCGACCGCTGCCGCCCGTCGTTTCAAGGTCGCTGGACACCCGCCGAAACTTTGTGTGGCTTGCTAGCCACTGGAGCTCATCGACTGGACGTCGTTTGTCAGTTGGTCGCAGCTCGGCGGAAATTGAAGCATCCGCCATCGCCGCCTGGAAGCTACGCCGTCCGTCGTCCGTCCGCCGGGAAGCATCCGTCCGTCCGCCGAGAAGCTGCGTGGATGAACAGAGGACCTGGGCGAGCTGGACGCTGAGGTCTGGAACGAAGAAGAACAGTTCGCAGAAAACAGAGGGAGTTCATCGCGCTGGGTCTTTCTCGATTCGACGAAGAAGAAGGCTGCTACTGTAGCTAGACGCCTGGACCCGTTTTTGCTGAAGCTTGAAGCTGGACCTTGACCTGCTGACTTTGGACTTGTGGACTGTTGGAGAAATCTAATTGAGTTCCTGGATTTTTTGGGCCTTCTTTGGGCCTCGGATTTGGTTTGCTGGAGCATTGGAGCTGCTGATTGGGCAGCTGGGCTGGAGCGTGGAGCTGGCTTGAGCTGCTGGACTGGACCTGGACTGCTGGACACTGGACGCCACCGGTCAACGCCGGTCAACGGCGGTCAACGCCGGTCAACACAGTCAACCCTTCAGAAAAATCCCAATTTTTTTTTTTAAATTGGGTAGGTAAGGTCGAAACGCTCTCCTAGGGTTTCGCGAAGGTAAGTTTTCTGTAAACTTCCCACTTGTTACATTCCGGTTTTAATTTAATTTTTATTCCCCTCCCCGCGGGCCGCCGGTTGATTTAATCCCGGCCGCCAACCCCCCAGGTACGTACTAAACCCTCTCCTTTGTGGTTGACTGTTTAGTTGATTAATTAAATTACTAAGTGTTATTTAATTTTAATTGTTATGTGTAGGGGTGGTTTATTGGGTGGTAGGGGTAGAATTAATTATTTTTAATTTTTCTGCCTGGAATTGTTTAAATTGCCAAAATGTCCATTTTTTTGCTATGTGTTGCATGCTGCCCGGGGTTATTAAAGTGAATACTTTATAACCCGGGTTGGATTATTTTCTGTTAATTCTGTCTGTTTAGCTTTGTGTTCCTTTGTGGTTGATACCATGGCTGCAAATCAGTATGGTATGCTTCCATTTAATGGAAAAACAGATTTTGATATTTGGAAACAGAAAATAAAGTGCGTTTTAATACAGCAAAAAGTTTTCAGAGCTGTCACTGGTATTTTCCTTGAATCAGAAGATAAGGCTAAGCAAATTGAAATGAACGAAACTGCTTGTTCTACTATTTACTTGAATCTGTCTGATTCTGTGCTTAGGAAAGTGGGTATTCTTGAGTCCGCTAAGGAGTTGTGGGAGAAATTGGATAGTCTCTATACTGATACCTCTTTGCCCGGGAAGTTGTTCTTACTAGAGAAATTCTTTAGGTTTAGGCTTGACCTGACTAAGGATATAGATGAGAACCTGGATGTGTTTAATAAACTGATACAGAATATCAAACAGGCAGGTGATAAACACATAGATGATTACACTCCCATAGTATTACTTAATGCCATTCCCGACTCTTATAATGATGTTAAGTCCGCTATTAAGTACGGTAGGGATGAGATTTCATTAGACATTGTTGTGAATGGGTTAAGGAGTAAGGAATTAGACCTGAAGCATGCTAGGGGTAGTGCTAGTCAGTCCAGGGACTCCGGTGAGGCTATGTTTGTTAGGGGTAGATCTAAGGGTAGGTCTAAGATTCCTAAGCAAAATAGTCAGGGTAAGAACGCTAGTCAGCCTGGGAGGAAGAGGAGTAAATCTAGGAAGAGAGTGTGTTACAATTGTGGTAACACTGGCCATTTCATTAAGGATTGCCCCCACCCTAAGAAGACCGAGCATGCTAGTGTAGCTGTTGATAAATGTGACCTTGGTGATATTTTGATGGTTTGTGACCATGTTAATTCTGTGAGAAATTCCCTGTCTGAGCATGAATGGTTGATTGACTCTGGTTGTACCTATCACATGTCCCCCTTTAGAGATTTGTTTTCTACTTATGAATTATGTGATAGTGGCTACGTTTCCTTAGCTGATAATAAGAGATGCAATGTTCTTGGTGTTGGTGATATATGTCTGAAATTTTCTTGTGGCTCTGTGTTTACCATTAAGAATGTGAGGCATGTCCCTGATTTGTGTCATAACTTGTTATCTGTTGCTGCTTTGGAGAGTAGTGGGTTACAGGGAAAGTGGGGGAATGGTTGTATGAAAATCCTGAAGAATTCGCTTGTTTTGTTTAAAGCTGAGAAGGTGAATAACCTTTATGTGTGTCATGCTAAACCTTTTGCTGAGTCTGTGAATGTTGTATGTTCTGATAAGACCTCTTTGTGGCATAATAGGCTAGGACATATGAGCAATAAAGGTTTAGATGTCATGCGTAGGGCTGGTTATTTTGGTAAGGACTCTGTGACTTCTGTGCCTTTCTGTGAATCATGTGTGTTGGGCAAGCAGCATAGAGTCAGTTTCCCTCCTTCCTCTTACCCTAATCTGTCTAAGTGTTCGTCTGTGCTTGAATATGTTCATGCCGATGTTTGGGGTCCTGCCAGTGTTCCTACCCACGGGGGTAGGAAATATTTCCTTTCCATTATTGATGACTTCTCTAGGAAGGTGTGGGTTTGCCTTTTAGAACACAAGTCAGATGTGTTTGTGAGGTTTAGGGAGTGGAAAACCCTAGTTGAAAACCAAACTGGCAGGAAGGTTAAAACCCTTAGGACCGATAACGGGTTAGAGTTCTGTAATAAGGAGATGGATAAGTTGTGTGTGGATTGTGGAATAAAAAGGCACTAAACTGTGCCTTATACTCCCCAACAGAATGGGATAGCAGAGAGAATGAATAGGTCTCTGTTGGAAAAGGTTAGAAGCATGTTAGCTACCTCTGGTTTGTCTAAGAAATTCTGGGGTGAAGCAGTCACTACTGCTGCTTATTTGGTTAATAGGTCCCCATCTGTCCCTCTTGGTGGTAAGTGTCCTGAAACCGTCTTTACCGGTAAGCCTCTTGATCTGTCTAACCTTCGAGTGTTTGGTTGTGCAGCGTATGCACATCAACAGGGTGACAAGTTGGATCCTAGGCCTAAGAAGTGTGTCTTCCTAGGTTATCCAGAGGGGGTAAAGGGTTACAGGTTATGGGATAGGAACCAGGTAGGCTTTAAAGTGGTCCTTAGCAGAAATGTGGTGTTTAATGAAACTGATTTTCCTTGCTTGACCGAGTCTGTTTCTAATCCTGAGTCTAGGTCTGATAGTACTCCTAGTGAGGTGGAGTCTGTCCCTGTTGCTGCTAGTCCTTTGTCTGTTGATCCTGTTATTACTGATGATATTGTTATGCATGATTCTGATTCCTCTGAGCATGATAGTCCCACCACCTCGAGTGAGGTGGAGCATTTGCATGATACTGAGCATGAATTGCATGATATGGGTGCTGAATCTGATTTTCATGATAACAATAATTTGCATGAGTTGCATGTGGAGCCTAGTAGTGATAATTTGCATGATTATCAACTTGCTAGAGATAGGAGTAGAAGGGCTATCAGGAGAACTGCTGATAGTATGCCTGATTATGCTTTC